TGGAAGCAATTCTAATTTTTAATGAATTCTTCTTTCATCAAAACAAAGAATTTGAAATTCTAAATGAATTCTGCATCAATTCTATGCATTTTCCAAACAAAAGAATTCCAATATTTTGGAATTCCAATTCCTAGAATTTTAATTCTATAGAATTCCAATTCCAATTCAATTCCAATTCTATACAACCAAACGCACCCTAAGTTGAAATCAGGGAAAAATTATACCACACGTATGGATGTTCCAATGGCCAATACCAAAAAAAAAAAAAAAGAATAATTATACAATCTAACTAGTCAACTACAACAACAAACCACTAGCAAATGACTCAAGTGAAAATTTTCCGATCTAAGTCTCAACTCGTACTAATCTTCCAATTCTTTCTAAATCTATCTACTCTTAACAGTACAATTTACATCACGAACAATTCATTCCACCCCTATAGAGGATGCAGATTTGACGATTGACTAGCTAGTCTATGGAAAAAATGTAACATTTGGGTGGTCCAATCACACAAGGACAAAATTGGCAAAATACTTCGAGGACTCAGTAAACTAAAGTTAAGAGTTGAAGCACCAAAATTGTTTAGTAAAAACGTTGAGGCACTATTTTGCTCATTTGCTCCAATAAATTTACGGATAAAAAAAAGATTATTTCACCCAAGTCCACTGCCACTGGCACTTCCAGTAACTTATTGTGGTGGTAAGTTCTTCTTCTTCTTCTCTTTCATTTTTTTGGTTTTTCTTGAAATTTGATGTTTGACACACTTTCTTTGGTAATGTCATACTGCCAAGGTTTGTATTAACAGAGTTGAGAATATAAAGGCAAAAAAAAGGTTTATCTATCCACTGATGGAAATTTGTGAATGGTGATTACCATAAAATTATTTATTTATTTTTGGGTTACATTACATGGAATTCAGGCTTTATGAAATATAGTCATGATGTTTGATCTTTTGCATTTTGAGCAAGAAAGACGTATACTTTTTTGTCTTTTGGATTTCTGAAGATAGAGTTTGTGGTCTTTCTCCTTGCTTCTTGCATCTTGAGCCTTGATCATGGAGTCACTCTACACCATTCTAGGCAATGTTTTGAAAACCGGACCGGACCGGCCGGTTCGACCGGTTGAACCGCGAACCGGCCATGCACCGGTCCGGTTCAATGACATTGTTGACTTTGCTAGAAAACCGGTCAAAGACCGGTTGAACCGTGAAAACCGCCGAACCGGATTGAACCGGCGGTTTTTCGGTTTTCAGCTTTCCTTTTTTTTTTTTTTTTTTTTTTGCAAAATGCAACTATCAAGATTCGAACCAAGACCTTTGTAATAAAAGACCAATGTATTAACCGTTGCACCATCACATTTTATTAGTTTTTTTTGATAACTTATTTATATAAAGCAAACACTTATATTTCTTTTTTCCATTTTTCTTACAAAATCTCATGCTCTCATGGCTCTTTCTTTTTAATTTTCAACTCTCTCTCTATTCTCTTTTCTTTTGTCACTCCCTTTTTAATCAAAGCTCTTTATTTTTAATTTATTGATGTTTTCTTCCATCTTTTAATTTTGTTTTTATCCATTAAATTGAAAAAGGTTAAAAAAGAATTTTTTTTAACCCAAATTATTTAATGCCACAACCACTCACTTTTATCTTATTTTTTGTTTCTTATCAAGTTTACATTTCTATTTTCAATTTTCTTGACTTCCTTCGAATTCCAAATTTTCTTTTTTAAATTGCAATATCTAAATTCCAAAACGTAAATTAAAATTTAAGTTCCTAATATCTAAATTCTCAGAGACATGAATTTTGTATAATTTCAAAATATTGTGATATTTTGGGGTTGGATTTAGATATAATTGAAATTGAGATGAAATTTATTTGTTTTAACTTATAATTTAAAAAATTTATTTTTAAAAATCCAAGTTATTAAAAAATAGTAAATTTTTCATCATATAAAATATTAAATTAGTCTATTACATGTCTTATTTTGTACATATATATATTTATATAAATTATTTTTTAAAAAATTCATTGAACCGAGGTTGAACCGGTCCGACCGGTTGAACCTCGACCCTTTCACTTCACCGGTTCAATTAACGGTCCGGTTTTTAAAACATTGATTCTAGGTCTCTTCATATTCTTGATGCCTGTAAAGTATCAGTATCTCCGAAAAAAGAACAGAAAACTGCAGCCTCCAAGTCCTCCAGCTCTTCCAATTTTGGGCCATCTTCACCTTGTGAAAACTGCCCCTCACCTTGCCCTGCAAAAGCTCTCCATCAAATATGGTCCCCTGATTTCCCTTCATTTTGGGATTCGTCCTTTCCTTGTCGTTTCCTCACCGTCTCTTGCAGAGGAATGCTTAACCAAGACGAATGATATTATTTTCGCAAACCAGCCTGAGTCAGTTTCCAGTAAATACCTTGGCTACAACTCAACTGCTCTCATAATCTCCCCTTATGGAGATCACTGGCGAAATCTCCGCTCACAACCATCCATATGTTTTCTTCGATTCAACTCCAGCGTTTTTCCTCCATCTGGATGTTATGGTATTGGACCAATAAGCGCAATGGTGACAGATTACTTGCAGCAGAAAGAATTAACCCTTGACACTTTTGAATGGAACAGGAACTAGTAATGAGTATTGGAACTTAAGTTTCTGATTGACAGTAGGTAGGTCAATTACAGAATAGAATCAACGGATGTAGGATTGGAAAGGAAAGATTGAAGGAATTGAAAGAGAGAAGAGAGGGAAATTGGCAGAGCCAATTTCTGTTACAATCAATGGAAATGATATGACTAAAATCTATCTAACTCCCGAATTCTTCAGCCTTTTATGGCCTTTTCCGGACTAACTAACTTCTAACTAGCTAATCAGGTGAGGCCACGTGGAAGTTCTGGAATCATCAGCTCCACTTGCGCCAAACAGAAGCATAATTCTGTTATATCAGGTAGAAGGCGTGATTTGTAAGTCACGCCTTTCTTCCTCAAGTTGAGCAGCTGCGCCTTTCACATAAACTGGAACACGCCTTCCTCCTTCTTCAAGCTGGAACACGTTTTTCATGTATTCCAAATCACGACTTCCGTATATCCTTCATACTCTATGACAGAGCCTCCCTCTTTAAAGAATCTTGTCCTCAAGATTGGAAATGAGGAAATTGCCTCCTAATTTCGTCTGCAAATTCCCATGTTGCCTCTGCTGGATCTGTTCCCCACCAATGTACCAGCCATTGAACAGCAGCTGCATTCTTTCTCTTGACTGTTCTTCGTTCTAGCACTGCAACTGGTTCGATCCTTAAGTGCCCCCTCCCATCTGTTTCTGGTAGTTGTAAGACAGGTGTGGTCTGGTTCCCAACCTTCTTCTTCAGCAGAGAGACATGGAAAACAGGATGAATTTTGGAATCTGCTGGTAATCTGAGCTTGTATGCAACCTCCCCCATCCTTCCTATTACTTCATATGGTCCATAGTAACGTGCTGATAACTTAGTGTTACCTCGCATGGCCACTGAACTCTGCTTGTAAGGCTGTAACCTCAGGTACACCCAATCACCTATATCAAACCTTCTTTCACTCCTGCTTTTGTCTGCGTACTTTTTCATCCTCTCCTGAGCTAGCTTTAGGTTCTGCTGCAGTAAGATGTCAACCTTGTGTCTCTCCCTCAAGTAGTCCCCAACAACAGCTACCTTGGCCTGAGTATATGGCCCTATAGCTAATTGGGGGGGTGCCTGCCCATATAGAGCCTCAAAAGGGGTCATTTGGATGGCTGTGTGGTAGCTGGTGTTGTACCACCATTCAGCCATAGTCAACCAATGATTCCACTTCTTTGGTTCCAAATGTGAAAAACACCTGAGGTACATTTCCAGTACCTGATTGACCCTTTCAGTCTGGCCATCAGACTGGGGATGGTAGGCGGTACTGTGGTCCAGTGTAGCTCCCAGGAATGTAAACAGTTCTCCCCAGAACTGACTGGTGAAGACCCTGTCTCTGTCTGATAGCATACTCTGAGGTACTCCATGCAACTTGACCACCCCATCTAGAAAAATCCTGGCGATCTTTGGGGCATCATAAGGATGTGAAGTGCTCAGAAAGTGGGCATACTTAGTGTATCTGTCCACTACTACCATGATGGTATCCTTTCCTTCAGAGTTAGGTAATCCTTCGATGAAATCCATAGTGATGTGGCTCCAGGGGTACTGTGGAATTGGCAGGGGTTGTAGGAGCCCTGGATAGGATACATGCTCATCCTTACACTTCCTGCAGACATCACATTCCAGGATTGCTGTCTTGATGTCTCTGTGCATTCCTGGCCAATGGAACAACTGCTTGGCTCTCATGAAACTGGCCTGGATCCCAGAATGTCCCCCCAATTGGGAGTCATGTAAGGTGTTGATCAGCTTTTTCCTTATCTCTCCTCCTGATCCCACTACTACCCTTCCTTTAAACTTCAGTATACCATTCTGATAGCTGTGATTGGCAATCAGGTCTGGTTTAAGTAGAACTTCCCTGATGATATTCTGTGCCCAGTCATCTCCTTGGTAGCTACTAATCACCTCCTTGATCCATTCTGGTACTATGGTAGTTATTGCAGTGCACTCCAAGCCTGATTTTCTCCTGGAAAGGCCATCAGCTACCACATTCTCCTTTCCCTTTTTGTAGTGGATCTCATAACTCATCCCCATGAGCTTAGTTAACCACTTCTGCTGCAGTGGTGTGGTGATTCGTTGTTCCAGCAAGTACTTCAAACTCTGATGATCAGTGTTGATGATGAAGTGTTGGCCCTCCAAGTAGTGTCTCCATTTGGAAATTGCTGTAACTAAAGCTAGTAGCTCCTTTTCATAGATAGATAGCCCCATGTTTCTTGGCCCCAAACTTTGACTGATATAGGCTAAAGGTCTTCTGTTCTGCATTAATACTGCCCCTATCCCATTGTAACAGGCGTCAGTTTCTACTACAAAGGGTTGGTTGAAGTCAGGTAGAGCCAGGACAGGTGTGTCACACATGGCCCTTTTTAGCTTTTGAAATGCCTCCTCTGCTTCTGTTCCCCAATGGAAGCTGTCTTTCTTCAATAGTGCAGTCAATGGTTTGGCTATACTACCATATCCCCTAACAAATCTCCTATAGTACCCTGTCAGGCCTAGGAACCCTCTCAGCTGTTTCACATTTCCTGGTTTAGGCCATTTCACCATACCTTCAATCTTCTCAGGGTCAGCTTTTACTCCTTCAGCAGTTATGATGTGTCCCAGGTACTCCACCTGTGTTTGGCCAAAGGCACATTTGCTCCTTTTGGCATACAGTTGGTGTTTCCTGAGAATGTCCAAGACTTCTGTAACATGCTTCAAATGTTCCTTGAACTCGTAGAGCCCTTGATGGGTTCTAAATGCAGTCTTGGAAATGTCTGCTGCTTTCACTCTGATCTGGAAGTAGCCTGCCCTCAAATCTATCTTGGTGAAGTATTTGGAACCTGTCAATTCATCCAAAAGTTCATCAATAAGGGGTATAGGGTATTTGTTTTTGACTGTCAGCTCATTTAGCTGCCTATAATCAACACAGAATCTCCAGGTGCCATCCTTCTTTTTTACCAGAAGTACAGGGGATGCAAAGGGACTGGTATTGTGCTGAATGATACCATTTTCCAACATTTCTCGCACCAGCTTCTCAATCTCAGTCTTTTGAATATATGGACATCTGTATGGCCTGATCTGGAAAGGTTTGGACCCTTCTTTAAGGGTAATGGTATGATCATGACCCCTCTCAGGGGGTAGCCCTTGAGGTTCCTTGAATATCTCCTCAAAATCCTGCAGTACCTCCTCCATCTCTGGGGGTGTAGTAGCATTGGTATGTACCTCCTCCTGGACTGCACTGAGTTGAGCCATAATTCCATAGGCCTGTTTCCTGGCCCACTTGTGCAATCTGCTCCCCTTAATCAACCTTAGCTGCACCTGATCACTTTCCCCCTTCAATTCTACCTGCTGTTTTCCCTTCCTGAACTTCACACTTAGTCCCTTGAAATCAAATTCCATAGGACTGAATCTGGCAAGCCAATCCACTCCCAGCACCATATCACATCCCCCTAGCTTCAGTGTATTAAACTGGTGCTGGAATTCATAGCCTTGCATCTTCCAGACTACAGGCTTAGCTAGGCTGTTGGACTGTACCTTTTCCCCATTAGCTACCTTGACAACTAGGGGTGGACCACTACTAACCAGTTTCAGGTTGCTAGCCAGTTGTGCATCCATAAAACAGTGAGTGCTACCACTGTCAATAAGTGCAGTGATAGTTCTCCCTTTTATTAACCCCTTTAGTCTAATAGTTTTGTGCTCACTACCCCCTGCTAAAGCATTGATGGAGATTTCCATATGTTCATCCCCAATTTGGCCCTCAATGCAATCGCAGAAAACTTCAGATTCAGCCTCCTTCCCTCCCTCACTGGTCACAGGGTTCTCACTGTCATCATGTGCTAGCAGAAGATGGATGTGGGATTGTTTACATACGTGGCCAAGTGTGTATGGTTCAGCACATTTATAACATAATCCTTTCTCCCTCCTTAGGTTGAACTCACTAGGGGTGATCTTTTTGAACTGGTTAGTGTTGCTGTTTGGGGTCCTGTAGTTGTCTGTGGGAGGTTTATCTGAGGTTCTGGATGTGGTGGGGTTCCATTTGTTATGGCTCTGGGGGTGGAAAGGGGTTCTGTGTGTCTGGAAGCTGTTAGGTGGGGGTTTGTGAAACTTTTGCATAGCTTTTAGGTTCTTTTCTTGTAGCTTGGCTGCTTCAATTGCATCTGCCAGGGTTAGAGGTTTGGCCATTTTAACCATATTGACTATTTCTTCCCTTAAACCACTCAGGAAGCATGCTTTATAATAGGAATCAGACAAATGTGGGAGGGAAGGCATTACCAGTGCTTTGAGCAGCTCGAACTTTTCCAGATAGTCTGCTATGGATCCCTCCTGCCTAAGCTTGTTGAATTCTTCAATAGCTTCCTCTGGTGTACCTTCCCCAAACCTTTTACACAAAGCAGTAGCCAGTTCTGTCCATGGTATGTTTCCCCTGCCACTGAATACCCCGTGGAACCAAGTATCAGCTCTGTCCCTCAGGTATAGCTCAGCAATCTCAGTTTTCATGTTCTCCTCCACTCCATTGATCTTGAAGAACTTGTTAGCCTTACGGATCCATTCCCTGGGATTATCTCCTGTGAAGTTAGGTAACTCCACCTTAGGCATTCTGGTGTAGGATCTAGTTTCTTTCCATTCTGATCTGCCACAGCCTCCTTCCTGAGTTGCTTCCTTCTTAGGTCCTTCAATGGAGCTACTGCTTTCTGCCTCCTTGTCCTTGTCATTGAATTTTGCCATCATCTGAGCCATCATAGCCATCATACTTTCATATTTCTGATCTAGATTTTTGAGAGTTCGTTCTGTGCTTTCTTGTCTATGCCCCAACACTTTGACCACACTGCCTAGCTCAGAGATATCCTTCTTTAGCACCTCCTCCTGAGACTTTGTCATCCCAATGGCTCGTAGCTAAGCTCTGATACCACTGTTATGGTATTGGACCAATAAGCGCAATGGTGACAGATTACTTGCAGCAGAAAGAATTAACCCTTGACACTTTTGAATGGAACAGGAACTAGTAATGAGTATTGGAACTTAAGTTTCTGATTGACAGTAGGTAGGTCAATTACAGAATAGAATCAACGGATGTAGGATTGGAAAGGAAAGATTGAAGGAATTGAAAGAGAGAAGAGAGGGAAATTGGCAGAGCCAATTTCTGTTACAATCAATGGAAATGATATGACTAAAATCTATCTAACTCCCGGATTCTTCAGCCTTTTATGGCCTTTTCCGGACTAACTAACTTCTAACTAGCTAATCAGGTGAGGCCACGTGGAAGTTCTGGAATCATCAGCTCCACTTGCGCCAAACAGAAGCATAATTCTGTTATATCAGGTAGAAGGCGTGATTTGTAAGTCACGCCTTTCTTCCTCAAGTTGAGCAGCTGCGCCTTTCACATAAACTGGAACACGCCTTCCTCCTTCTTCAAGCTGGAACACGTTTTTCCTGTATTCCAAATCACGACTTCCGTATATCCTTCATACTCTATGACACTGGACTGAAGAAATCCATTTCATCATCAAAAAATTGTTTTCCAGTAATTCTGATGAGAAAACCTGGAAAGTTAAGGACATGAGTTCTTTGTTCCGGGAGTTATTATTCAACGCGATAATGAAAATAGCTGCTGGAAAAAGATGGCCATCTGATCAGCCAGGTGATATATTTTCACCGCGAGCACTCACTGATCTTTGTGATTATATTCCAATCTTGAGGTGGGTTGGCTATGGAGGGTTGGAGAAAGGTGTAATCAGTTTGCACCAGAAAAGGGACGAGTTTCTTCAGGGCCTGATTGATCAAACGCGGAAAGAGGTAGCAGAAGACGGTTCTTGTTCGACAGAGAGAAGGAAAACAATTATTCAAAAATTGTTATCTCTACAAGAAGCAGAACCCGAATACTACACTGACGAAATTGTTAAAGGAATTATACAAGTAAGTCTCTTCTACTTGAATCTCTTTTACAAATTGGTCTATAATTCATTAGGACAAGGTCATCTCACCCATGTAGCAGCAGCAGCAGCACAAATTGTCTAGCCATATTTAGTGGTAGGGCTAAGACTAGTGATGAGGGATGCAGTGCTTGTGCGGTGTAGATGCAACCGCATGCTTTTCATGGTTCAAATTCGATCTGAATTTTGAAATGATCAAATTGTAGCTTCATGTTGTGGTCTGATCTGAACTGTAGAAAACACCTCCGACAGCACAAAGGCACCGGATCTAGTGGTGAGTGGGGAAATGGTATATGCCACTAACTTCAGTGTTGGTGTCTAGGGAAGAAATTTAGTCAAAGTCTTTCAAAAAATTTGGTTTTGTTTGGGTGTACACATGATTTCAACATTAAATGTGTCAATATCTAGTGGTGACTGGTAAGTTGGGGCAACCATCAACATGTAAATTGGGTAAAATCTTGTCGTGGTTCTCTAACGTAACGGGAGAGGGGCTAGTGAGGTTGAAGTTTGGTATGGTTCAATCTAGTTATTACACTTTTTATATTTGGTGTATAATTACATTATATTATTATATTCAAAGTAAAAGTGGTGTACATTAATAAAATATTTGATGCATATTCAGTACAATATTATGATATATTTGTACACTAAAAAATTTAAACTTGTACAAGGATTGGACGAAATTGTACAAAATACAATTATACCGAATTCTTGTCCCTAAGTAACATATCAATTTATGGCTGTATCTATCATTTTAAACCATAAAATAATCAAAGAATCTTTAGTGGCATGTGACAATATATAAGGTTTTAACAATCTTTTCCGTTTATATAGATTTAGGAATCTAGATCACAAAATTTATGGACACTTGAGGATAACTTAAACAAACGAAAAATATCGTTTTACAAGTTACTGTCAAAAGTTTAGGATTCAACAACGTGGAAGTGATGGCCTTGCGATGCTCCATGGGATAGAAAGAGTTGTCAATATAACTATCTCAAAAGTGTACAACACTTGTAATAAAGTAAAATTCATCACAAAATAATCTGCACAACTTTATTACAAGAATGTTAAAAATCAGTCTCTTCTTAACAAAAAATACATGTTATTGTATGCTAATATTGGTTGTACATTTTTTACATTTTGTTTTGTTGGCCAAATTAAGGCCTTTAAAATTTGGGGAAGATTGCTACTTGCTCCCTGCCCCTGATGGAGGTGATATACTAACAATTGATACACGTGATAATATTCAATAACGGACAACAGAAGCAAATCAGATGAGATAAGATAACAGCCACTTGGACCGTTGGTCACCATTAAAACTTTAAAGTAAAGTCTTGGGGGATGGTAGATTAAGAGTTCAACCATTGCCTCTCATCATATACTTGTCAGTTAATCGTGCCTGACACTTTTAATGGCTTTCTCCCCTAAATTAAAATAGAGTAGATTATAAAAATATTATCGTTACGATAAAACAAAAAGATGAGATAAGATAATGAGACCTTAACCAAGTTACTCGCGGTTGGGGCTAAGTTAACGGTGGAGGCTGTGAGACATTTTAAAAAGTGTTCATTTGAGCATAGATATTAAGTAATACTTATGGCACAATATTTTAACTGGTTGTCTCAAACAAAATATTTTTATTTTCATTGAAACATTCGGCTGGAATAAATCCTACCTCTCTCTTGTTATAAAAAAATAAAATGTATATATTTTATTAGTAATACTTTCGTTTACATAACTATATATACATATATATATTATGTGCCTCATTGATGTTCCATAACGAATAGTTAATTTTCAGATTTTTAGAATGCAAGTGGTTGCAAATGTTTGCACCACATAATTGCCCTAGCAAGTTTGGTTTGATGTGCGTTGTTGACAAATGTCTGAACCGAACTCTCAGAAGTTTGGGCCACAAACTATCCCACAGAATTCACTCAGTTAGTAAGATTATTAGGTAGATGATCGTGAAATCTTTGTTGAATTCTCAAATCTCCCTTTTTCTCTTTATAAGGCTTTGAATCTCTCTTAAAAATTAAAAACAGAAATCTCGATTACGAACTCAACTAATGAGGCTCCTAATTTAGAATCAGGGGCCTCGATATTTGTTTGGTGCCACTTCTACAGAGGCCAATTGACAGCCAAGAATCGGGGATAAATTAACTCAACAAAAAGGGTTGCTTTCAATTTATACCCGTATTTAAGGGTTAAATGCATAAAACTCCCACGAACTAGTACACTAGTTGCACTTTACACTCTAAAGTATTTTAATAGGCACTTTACACCCTTAGTCAACTAAAAAATAACACGAAAATTAATTTCATCCAAATAATTGATGAAATGATTAATTTATCCTCCATTAAAAACTTTAAGTGATATGAGATTGGCTACCCTGTTGGAAGACATTCATCATTTAAAGTTGTTGTTTCATATGTGCTCCTTTTGTTAAGTTAGCAAGGATCATAATCATATTAGTAATAGGATTATCTTATATGGTTTAGCATTATTTAAGATGAGAAACTTTGATTCATCCGTGTCAAAATACACTGATTGTATAGTTCCATCGAATCTTAACTCGAAACTGTAAAGTTTTTTTAATCTATAAAATCACTTATTGTTTCGAAAAAAATTAAAATCTTAAGTGATAAAAACACTAATTTGGTGGGGAAGATTACTAATTGGTAACACATAAAAAATTCTAATTGGTAACACATAAAAAATCATTTTGAGTGATGATTAAGACTATTGGAGTCAAAATAGAGAAATATTGAGTGATTACTGTTGCAATTTTTAAAATCTCATAATTTTCTTCAATGCATCATAATGCTATAACTTCATATAATCAGCAAAATTTCACTTGGAATCTTCACAAGCATAAAATTGGAGTAGAACCCCAAAATTTTCATATAAGTTTAGCACAATATTTGCAATAAAATTTCAATACCGAACCAAAATTAGAAGCTGTATATTAGGGAAAAAAATATTGAGCTCAAAAATTTTAATAAAACACCTAAATTATTTACTTTTCCTTGACAACAATCTTTTCTTACATAGGCTAACTTGAAGTACGTAGTAAAATAGGGTTGATGAGATTTTTGAATTGAATTTATTCCTTTTCTTTTTTTTCCTACTTCTTTTGTTTTAATTGTCATTCAAAGTGATCATATATTTTATTGTTATATGTTTTCAATTAGAAATTTATTATGAAGTGAAAATTAATCCATTTAAAGTGACATTTTTTCTACCAAAAGGGTATTTTTGTCACTTAAAAGCTTTTAATGGAGGATAAATTGGCCATTTCATCAATTATTTAGATTGGGTTAATTTTCTTATTATTTTATAGTTGACTAAGGGTGTAAAGTAGGAATGGCAATGGGGCCCCTCCCCCGCCCCCGCCTCGCCCCATCCCACCCACGGAGAAAAAGTTTATAATTAGTAAAAATATATAATTAGTAAAAAATTTAATTAGTAATTTCATATAAATATATAGTTGGTAAAAATTATATAATAAAATAAATGTATGAATAGTAAAAAATGTAATAATAATTTAGTATAAATATATTAGTATAACTAATCAATAATTTGAATTAATATAAATATATAATTATTAGTATAACTAATAATATCAAATATGTTATATATGTAATTAATATATATGTGTGTGTATATATATATTATTTTATTTAAGTGGGGGATAGAGTGGGGGATGGGGCGAGGGTATAGTCCCTTATACCCCACCCCTATTTAACGGGGGAGCATTTTATCCCCCGTCCCATCCTCCGGGGGATGGGTGCCCTCGCGGGACCCATCCAATTGTCATCCCTAGTGTAAAGTGCCTATTAAAATAGTTTAGGGTGCAAAATGCAACTAGTGTAATAGCTCGGGGGGGGGGGGTTTGCATTTAACCCCCTATTTAATTTTGGCTTTTCAGTTTATACTGTGAACTATGAATTGTGATACTTAAATATAATATACTATCAATTTTGGGGCGAATCGTCCAAATAAGATAAAACCAATTAATTCTTTTAGCAACTTTAGAATGAAACATTTTAATACCCCTTAATGAATTAGAGAATTTGGACAAACAACAAATTAAGGATATTTGAAGCCTTCTAAGCTAGAAAAAGTTATTTGGATTTGAGTAGATTTGACCAATGGGCCAACAAAAGAATAGTATAAGATACTGAAGTTCTAAAGTTAGCAATTTAGAGAGTAACAAGCAAATTGGTGATAATTTAGGAGTGCATATTGGCAATAACCCAAAAAAGTAGTTCCTTCATGCCTCTACATATAATTGAGGTCTATAGATGTCACATCCCATAATATATAGTTCCCTTCTTATGTTGACTAGTGGACATTCATTTGCGATCAATGTCAAAAGTGTAAATTATTGATTCATGATCTATAGCAAGAGAAATGACATTATTTGTCAACAACTTGATTCTAAAAACTAATTCATATTCTTTTCTTATTCATTCAAAAAGTTAAATTGAATTTGACTGTACATTACTTCTTGTGTAGTTAATGTTATCAGCCGGAACCCATACCACATCTCAGACAATGGAGTGGGCATTGTCCAGCCTATTAAATCACCCTAATGTACTGCAAAAGGCAAGAGATGAGCTAGAAAAAATGCAGCCTGGCCATCTGCTAAATGATTCTGATCTCTCCAAATTGCCTTATTTACGCTGCATAATCAACGAGACACTAAGGTTATTTCCTGCGGCACCAACTCTTGTGCCTCATTTTTCATCTGAGGATTGCACGATAGGAGGCTACGAGGTTCCTAAAGGTACAACTTTGTTAGTGAATGTTTGGGCCATTCACAGGGACCCCAATGTTTGGGAAGAGCCCAACAAGTATAAGCCAGAAAGATTTGAAGGAATGGATGAGGCCATAAGGCTGGCTGGCTTGACATTGGGCACTCTGATCCAATGCTTTGAGTGGCAAAGAGTTGGGCCTGAAATGGTGGATTTGGAAGAAAATCAAGAAGCAACTTTGGGTAAGGCCAAGCCTTTGGAGGCATCTTACAAGCCACGCCCATCGATGATAAAAACAATTTCCCAACTTTAAGTTAGATATGTTGTTCTATTAAGACAAATTGGGATTTCTTTTTTTTTTTTTTTTAGAACTTAAATATCAAGAAATAAGTGTCTGTTTTTTTTTTTTTGGTTTTGAGCTCCTCTTACAATTTCAGATTTGTAGTTGTAACTTTCTTTCAATACAAGTTGATGCTAAAATTATACAAAATTAAGTATTTTACGTGAAAATGTGGAAAGTTATATGATTCCAATTATACGTTGTGGAGAAGAAGATGAAAAGCACAACTCCACAAGCCTAATTAGAATTCTTATTTATTCACCAATCTAATTGAGCACCAGGAGCCTGAAAACGGTGTGAAGAACCAAAAGGAAATAACCATTATTCCAATACAATAGTAATTGCACTGCTTTCAAATTGAGTATCTTAGTTTGCCCTAATTGAAGCATTCAAAGAATAAGAGTTGAAAGTGACAATGACTGGAAGAAAACTGGCATCCATGGAGACCCTAATGTTTGGGAAGAAGCAAACAAGTTTAAGCCGGAAAGATTTGAAGTGATTTATGATGAAGGGTTCAATTTTCTTCCATTTGGAAAAGGAAAGAGAGCTTGTCCAGGAGCCGATTTGGCTGTGAAGTTAGTTGCATTGTCATTGGGCACTTTGATTCAATACTTTGATTCAATGAAGGATTTGGAAGAAAATCCAGGCTCAAATGGGGGCAGAGGCAAGCCTTTGGAGTCATTATACAAGCCATGCGAGTGTATGATCAACTTGATTTCTCAGCTTTAGTTAAGTTAGAGATCGATGTAGTATAATCCGTTCTTCTCTTCACTGAAAAGAAAAAAGATAGAAATATTTCTTTCCAGAACATAAAACTGCAATTGGGGTAAGAATGTCTAGGAACAAAGGGGAATATTATATGGCATGAAGAATTAAATGCCTGAATGCAATGGTGGATAAAGTAGACGAACATCCTATGCTCTGCAGCTCAGGCTTTTCAATTAGTAGATACAGCAAGGTCATGGAATCCATTCCCATCTTGACATTTTTATCGCTTCTCTTATCAGTCAACGAAAATTTTCTTTGCAGGGACTTGTCACATGTTAGTGGTCACATATTGAATATTCCTAGTAGTTAATGTCGCATTCAGACATTCCAATTCACTAAGGCTTGTTCTAAAACTGCGTAAAATTAAAAATTAAACATTACTTCCCAGTCAGCTTTAAATAATATATACACGAGAGAGAGAGAAAGAGAGAGATTGAACAAATATTTTCTCTGAGAGGGATTGAACACATATTCCAATAGACTCAGGGCTTGTTCTAAAACTGCTTAAAATTAAACATTAACATTCGCTTCCCAGTCAGCTTTAAATAAATAAAAAAAGGATTGATCATACTATGTCCCTTCAAGGTATGGTTTAGTCACTCTTTATAACGCAACATCAGAAATATATACTTTACCCCTCTCTTGACTAGTCAAAATGTTAAAAATGCTTAACACTGTTAAAAAAAAAAAAAGTGTTGATAAGACTAAAATAGCCATGATTTGGTACTGAAGGTATAATTGTAGCCTTGTTTTGGTGGAAAATTAAGCATGCAGTGCATATGACCTCAAAAAAAAAAAAAAGACATTAAGTTTGTTTGGATTGACTTGATTTCAGATAAAATAATTTACTTCACAAATTTCAACCACCTTTTTATCTTCCCAATCATCTTTTTATCTTACATACATCACATCACAAAAAGTGATACAGTAACTATCTCAAATAAATCATCCAAATAAACTCCTATCCAAATGCTAAGTGAAAAAAAAAACTCATAGTTGACAGCAAGTATGGTAAAAAACCCTTGAAGCATCGAGAGAAACTAGAAAAATTTGCCAAGATGTGCTAAAGGGCTCATTTGGGTTGTGATGACTTATCAAAAAACATTTAAAAATTGTTTAGGGTTGTGGTTCTTTTGTTAAAAAAGTGTTTTTGGGGGATAAAAACACTTTTAATGTATTTGATGGAATTGCTCGAATTTAGGAGTAGAGCTTTTCGCCATAAAAGAGCTTTTAGCATAGGTTTTAAATTTTGAACTTTTAAAGTAACTTTTATGTTTCAAAAAAATAAAATTTAACTTTAATAATTTTTTTTAAATTTTGAGCTAAAAAAAGAGATAAATAATTTATAAACTCAAAATTGCATATTATTAAATAGAAAAAGTACTTATATAAGTGTATGCATCTAAACAATATGATTAACAACTTTGACTAAAAAAGTCTGTTTGGAGTTGCAGTAGTTTATTAAATAACATTTCAATTAGTAGAACTTTTCGTTATCAATGTACTTATAAAGTGTTTAATCATATTATTTGGGTGTGTACTACTCCCTCCATCTCATAAAATTTGTCATGTTTGACACTTTTTCTTGTGCAAAATTAATTGTCATTTTAGACAAGTCAACCCATTTTTTTATGAAATTTTATTTTTATTCTTCATGTGACTCACCACTTATTCAAATAAAAGATGATCTGCCACTAAAGATATAAAAGGAAAGTAAAAATTCTCTTTCCTACTAATATCACTATACATAAATTACACATTTTTTGAAAATAGAATAATACTTTTTCTATTTGATAATGTGCCCTTTTGAATTTGTAAAACATATTTATCTTTTCATTTAGTTTAAAATTTATAGTGAGATTGTTAAATTGATTTTTTGTTTTTGAAATACAAAAGTTGCTCTAAAACACTTAAAAATTCTACTCCTAAATTCAACAAATTACACTCACCAAACATATTAAATGCACTTTTATCCTTCAAAGTACTCTTTTAGTAAAAGCACCCAATCCCGGACGAGCCTACACTTTCACTTGATTAATGAAAAGGACGAATTAGGCAACAAGAACAGTGCGCAAAACCAAAACCTTTCGCTACCACTTCCCCTTAGGCGGCTAAGAACTGCTCACTTCGGAAATGTCCATCGTTCTAGAGAGGAGTCTGTTCTGTTTCATGGTCAGAAGAGCTTGGCTTCTGCGAAAGTGTTGCGATCTGCTAGTCCAAGGTGGGGCGGATCTTGTGCTTATGAAGGTGACCAAGGACGGCATTGCCTTGCAAACTGTAGAGGAGAACATACATGCCTCCGTCTTGAACTCTAAGTTCTTCCCTATTTTCGTCCTAGATAGTGACCAATTCATGATGTAGATGCCGTACAATGGCTGATCAAACTTTTCAATTGGATGGTAGATGGAGACTTCATGAGCTTCTTCTATTGGAAGACTGGATCGACGTAATTCTTGTTCGATCTATATCAGGAACCCTGTTGGTAACTGGTGGACATCTGGTCGAGGCATCCTATTTGCTGAATGGCTTTTATGTAACATATTGAGAAAGATTAGAAGACTGATTCATGATTTCTCAGCTTTTAGACGGCGTATTTTTCAGGAGGTCAATTCCTCTGCGAATAGGTTAGCGGCTATTAGAACATCTGGTGAATTGATATTTGATCATATGCAGTAGTTGCCTTCTCTAGTTGGAACTCATCTTGTTCTAGTTTCGCAAGATTTGTCATCGGTTCGTATGATATTGTCTTCATTCGGTTGAGGTCAGATTTTGGCTGTCAGTTCTTTTACTCTTTCAATTTTATGGTAATAAAAAAATATTATTTCCCGCTAAAAAAAGATTAAAATACAAAGTATAAGTATAAAACTCTCTTAATATCTTGTCCAAGAGGAAAAATCCAATTTTGACCATGTCCACGACCATTTTGATGCTGTGACCTACAAAATTCATAAAGACGCATATTAACTTAAGAAATACAAGAAGCATACTAAACACTAGAAAAACACTAAATGGTTGGATTACCTTCCAACAAGTGCTTTGTTTAAAATCGTTATACTGCAGTTTTCACTATTTATTTTAATGAAGAGAAGAAGCCCCTGAGTAAACTACCCCTTTTGGGGCTATTTCACTTGTTAAATAAGTCTTTAAACTCTACCCATTCACCTTAAAAGATTCATTTTTACCATTTGTTATGTCTACCGATTCATAGGAAAGTACTCTTGTCAGTTCAAATGGATTAGAGCACCTAGATTTTAACTTGTCTGGAAAATAATTTAAGGTATGAATTGTACGATAACACCTTAACGTCCAATTTCAAATTGTTCATGAAGGATGCTTGTCATGTTGAAACTTCACATTTTTCTTATATATCTTGGCATTCTCATACAAAGTCAAATGAAATTCCTCCAATTCACTCAATTCAAGCAATTTCTTCTCACCTGCAACATGAAAATCCATATTAATAGCCTTCATAGCCTAATCTGCTTTATGCTAGATGGCATATTTTTCAATAAATTAGTCGATAAGGCGACATTCCCAACAGAGTCTTAAATACCATGCTATAGTTCCATAATACATCATCTAACTTATCGTCTAATCCTTCCTTGACTTGTTCACTATTTTCTCTAAAATGAGTTTGAGCTCCCAATTAGCAAACTTTGCTTGGCCATTCACTTGCAGGTGATAAGGAAGTGAAATTTTGTGCTTGCAACCATATTTAAGCAATAAAATGTCAAATGATTTATTACAAAAAATGTTTGCCTTTGTCATTTTTAATGGTTTTTGAAATTCCAAACCTGCAAAATATATTACTTTTAAGGAATTTAATTACAACTTTAGCATCATTAATAGGCAATGCAATAACTTTTACCTATTTCGACATATTGTCAACTGCTACAGGAGTCATTGAAGTTTCCTTGAATCTCTTCTTCTGCTTTCTTTTTTGCTCTAAAATACTGCATGTAAGTTGATCTAACATCATACTTTTTCATCTTAGCTCCTATCCCCTCGTTAGATATGATAAGATGATCTCTCATCAAAGGAATCAGTTTTTTTATAATCTAGTCAGATGTAGTCTCAATATTATTCCTATCCATCGCACAAGTGTGTTTAGGTTGGTAGGCTTTAATCATAAAAGTGATGGAATCAGCCACTGGTGATGCATGAATCCTCCATTTGCAACCATCCACATCATAAATAGCAGTCAC